TCTCAGTTGACCATTGTCGGGCTTTCTGGGTGTGATTATGCGTGGTGAGTAGGGTGTCATAGAATGTGAACTCTGATTGCTTTTAGCGGGTATGGAATTGCGACGGGAGCATAATGGTGTGGTTTGTGCGATGGTGTTTTAGTTTGGACGATTGTCGATTGAGATCGTGGTTGTGAAGCAAGGGTGTGCATTTGAAGAGGGCATTATGGTATTTATGAAGGCTGGAGTTGATGACATTTGGTCGTGGCAGAACGTGTCGATCGTGTTGAGACTGATGGTTGGTGTGGGTTGGATGGCTGGATTTGAGGAGGGTTGCGATCATTGCATGGATACGGCAGGTGTGCTGTGGAGAGGAAATGTTCCGTCATTTGTTTTGGGGAGCAAGTATCGGGGTGTCCGCATGGGTGTGTTGGAGATTTCTGGTTTGAAATATTGAGTTCTAATTTATTTTTTATTTATTTTTTAATTTTTTAACGATATGCGATTCCTTGTATTGGTAAGTTTGTGTGGTAAAGTTGTGTGGAAATGTTGTTGTGTGCATCATTGCATGGGGGTTTGCAATTCTCCATTGCCTTAAAGTTTCTGAAGGATCTTGCGAATCTAGTGCAAGTTGTAGGACGTCGGCATGTTGGGAGCAAGGATTTCGACATATTGCTGAGATTGGTGAAGATTGTTGACACACTTGTTGGTGTTATTCCTGTGATGGTGTTGATCATCTTGGTTCTTGAATGCCTCATGATCACGTGGTTATTGAGTTGGTTTTTCATTTTGTAATCTATCTATTGAGAATGTCGGATGGTTATGGAGTTGGTGGCTTCGAATTGGTAGCGCTTGAGAATCGTAAGCAGTGGTTATGCAAGATTGACACTGTTGACATGATATTCTTTTTGATTGTAGTGGAATGGTGTCGATGTGTTTGGTACAATGGGAAGTGGTGAAAAGCCAGTGATGTTTTGGAAAAATAATAGTAAAGTTCGGGAATACAAAAGCATCTTCCTAACACATTTAATGTACTATTTCATTGATGAATTTTGTAATATGTGCATATAAAGTGCCTTTAACTATTTTGTATTATGTTATCTTGTTGTATTCTTGATGTGGAATTATGTTGTCATTTGTGTAGAGTTTGTTGTAAAAAAAAAAGAAAAAAAAAAAAAAAGAGATAAAAAAGAACAGAAAAACTTGTAGAATAATACATAAGAGTTATCTTTATTGTATTTATTTTATATGGATTTTTATTTTTTATTATAGTTTTTGGTATATTTCAATTGCATTAAGTAATATTTTTAGATTAATAAATCAATCATTTGGATTTTGATTTGTATATGTTATAACCATCTACAAAATCATTACTAAATCTAATAGAATCGTATGTGAATAATAGAGTAAAAAGAATTTAAGTACTTTTGCAGATATAGTTGTTATTTGACAAAATCATGGTTACCATTAATTTTTTGATCAATATCATAACAATAAGTCAATTAACATAATTGATTAAAAATATCAAAATATTCTACAATTACTTTATAAAATAAAATTTTATTTTTATACGTTTTATATTTGATAGCAAATGTCATTGTTTGAATGTTAGTATGCATAATGATATTATGCTGATTCTATTTTTGAAAATATATGTATTTATAATATATTTAAAATAATTTTAAAAATTTATATAAACATAATGATAATGTGATGATAAAATATAATAATATGATGGTAAAGTATAATAATAATAATAATTTATACAATTAATGATAATAATTAAATTTAAAAAATATCATAATAGATTTTGACATATTGATAAAATGTTTTGAAAATCTTTATTAAGCATATTTTCATTTATAGCAAAGAATTGCTCAATTCTTCATCTTGATTTTCATGGATGTTATTGATGAAAAAATTTTATTTTTTTTATTGCATTTATAAGATTCTTTGTTGGCTCTCATGTGCATTCATTAATATTATATTCATGCTAATGAACAAGATATTTTAACCTATTTTGATATTGCTTTGAATTTAAGATTTCTTTGACCTCAAATTTTTTTATAATTATCTACTTCTATGAGACGTGGTGGAATTTGTCTTCTTCTTGGAATACTTATTATCTTGTATGGCTTGAAAAGAGACATATGAAATATAGAATGGATCTTCTTTGACTCTAGCATGTATAATTGATAAGCAACAAGATCAATTTGTTGACAAATAGAAAAAAGGTATAAGCCTATTGTGATTGCTCGTTTTACTTATTCCAAATTAATCTAATGGGAATAAACCCATATAAGGGGATTCAAACACGGGGAATGACTAGTTGCTTAAGCGTTCACGTTAGGGTCACACAATCAATTACCTCCTGAATGTATCGTCTCTATTTCCAATATCTGAACACACAAGGAAACTATAATCTCCTCTTTCACCTTAACGGTCTCTTCCTTACAACAATTCGGTCATACCAATAACTGCTATTTCCACCAATATATTCACCCTCATAATCTCCAACTGTAATACTGTGCCCTCACAGCTTTCAACACACAATTACCCTCATTCCAATCACTGAAATTCTTCACATAGAATTGTCATTCACATTACGGTGTTTCACACAAATACAGACTCATTCTCTCTGTTGAACTATAATCAGATTTCAGCATTCAATCTTTCTTCTTCTCAAATAATACCAATCACATTTCCATTCCATAATTCACTTCACAATATTCAGAAACTCTCAATCTTCTTATTCAAAGAAAATAACAAACAAAAGAAAAGAGGTAGTACCAAGCTTACCCCGACTCACACTATCATAGCGATGGCACCTTAATTATCTTCTACAACTCCTATATACTTTCTCCTGATTCTCTAGATTCTAACCGTAATTCTATAATTAATTGCTTTTAAGAACTAAATCACTCATCTGTCCTCCTGAAATTCCTATTATATGGACTATTAATATATTTTACCAATATCTTTCAAAAATGAATTAATATCTATTCTACACCTACAATAATCGAATTTATCACAAAAATAAATAGTCTTGATATTGTAAAAGAATAATTATACAATGTCACTTGTATTATATAGTAACATGGCTATTAGGTGAAAGAAGAAAGAAAATATTTTTTTATGATGGACATACATATTTATTCTGATATTTACCTATATGATTAAGTAGAAGTAGATAAAAATAAATTTATTTCATAATATTTTATTAAAAAGTTTTCTAAAAGCTTTATAGATGCTGCTTTGATTTTACATGTATTTGTAGTTGATTAGTAGATAGTAACTTGCAAAATAAGCTAACTACGTGGCACACATATAGGAAATTTGCCTTATAAATTAAGATACATGTCTTGCAAATCAATATGTTTTGAAGGTCCTATAGGACATCACTATGTAGCTCTTAGTTAAGAATATATATGGGGATAAGAATGAAGTCTTCTTCACTCTTATCAATATCTTTTTATTCCTTGATCTTGGTTTCAAGATTTTTTAGTGTTCTTATCTTTAGTAATAGTTATTCTAATTTAATATTATTTAATCTTTAAATGATTAATTTGTCTTTTTGAATGACATAAGAGTGTCTTCATTTTTTAATTTCTCAAAATTCATGTCCTTCATAGTTTGATAAGAGTTCTAATTCATTATTGTTGTCTTGTTTTAAAAGTGAGTGGATTACCTACCTTTATACAAATTGTTTAGTTTTCTAACATTGATATTTTTCTTAAAGAGAGCAGATTATTCTTCTTTGTAAAAATTTTCATTTGATATTAGATATTGTAGATTATCTTCTTCTAATTTAACTTGTGAATTTGTTAAGTTGTTTGAAATAGGAGAAAAAATCATGGATGCTACACTTGAAAAAAGTAAGAATAGATTTGGAACTATTACTAATCTTCACAAATTTGTTAACACTCTTAAGATAGAAATTTCATACATTATAAGTGCTAATCATGGAAACACTAATCCTATGTCTATGGAAGAAGTTTAAAGTCTACATCAAGAAGTTGTGCAGTTAAAAGAAGCAAGTAAAGCGACCTCATAACTAAATTCAAGAAGTTTTGCTTCTATAAGTATAACAAGAATAAGGATTAGTATGCCAAAGAAGTTTGTGGAAACTAGATCAAAATTTTTAATGATTTTTGTAACAAATCAAGCTTTATCTAAGGTTGCATTCATTCAAATATCATGATGGATTTACTCAAGTTGGATTCATAGGTGCACTTTTATGTAGAAGTGCTCTCTTTTGATTTGAAACTTTGATAGAAAAGGATTCATAACTCCTTTATGATTTGAATTCATTCCTAAGAGTGTTTATGACTATATTTGGAGAAATTGATTAAAAATAATTTTGCCAAAAAATAAGAGATATCATTAGTCAAAAAAACTAAATCCGTACATATAAAAGTCATAGGTGGTTGTTTGTTGTCTTTTGGAGATGTTATCAATGAAATATTCTTTTAGATATAATAATGAAAGATCATAATAATATAATAATATTTAATATATTAAGATCTCCATCTAATCTAATTATATTAAGATTATTATGATTAAAATAATATAATCTTCAAATAGATTGGATTTTCCACAACTTTAACTTTTTTGGTAGTGAAATTTAAAATCTTATTAGTCAAGTAGAATTACATAAGTCTAATATATCCAAATCCTTGCTAGTAAGAGCAAGAGCTTTCATACATGCTGCAAAAGAAAGATCATCTTTTGCTATATATGCCATATCCATTTTTGATGGTGAGAAGATGTGAAGTGATATTCCTAGCCAATATTGAGATTCTAAAGACGTTTTTAAAAAATTAAATATAAATATTCTTCAAAAGCATCAATCTTATGATTGTTCAATTGATTTGCGAGAAAGAGCTCAGATACCATTTGGATTG